AGCTCTCTCCTTAACATCAACTATGTCTGAATCTACACAAATCACTACAAAATTAGAACCAAGTAAAGACAAACTCATAAAAAAAAGAGACCACACAATCCAAGAATCGGACTGAGATTGTTCGGTTGAAGGGCACATCAATCCAACCAAGGTCAGCAATTGGGGTGATGTGTACTCCCCGATATGCATTCGCACTATCCTCCTTACAATAGCTCATCTTGAGAAGGACCCTTATCCTTGTTTCCTCGGAACGGATAGGGTGAAGGAGAACGACCAACCTCATCGGCACTTCACAAAGAAGAAGCCCTCTTTCTAGTGTTTAATGGAAGAGGGAGCCCCAACCATGTAGCAAAATGTGTTCGGCATCAATTGAACATGGAGGACCCAATACCACCTAAAGATAACCACTACCCCGAGATCTAAAGGGAACCTAAGGCCTACGATCAGACTATATACGTACACACAAAGCTCCTCGAGACGGGACATAGTGGCCCTCTCCCCAACCAAGATACCTCAGTTCATACTGCTTGGGAATGCGATACACTTCTTGGATTCGAGCCAAGTCAGCCAGAGGGCTTGCCCTTCTGACTTCGCATCGGCTTTAGCAACCTCATCAACACTAGTCTCCTAGGCACCAACCTCTCAGACCTCAGTGTTGCCCTTGTCATCGACCTTGGCCGTATTGATGTCGGTCTCTGGTACTCTAACCATGATTGCCTTGCGTCGAGGACTACCCTCACTTTCATCCCCTGAAGTGTACCCAATAAAAAGGGAAGATAGGGAAGACGTAGTGGAAGACATTTTATTAAAGAAAAATAAGAAGCTCGGGACACCTAAAATACCAAGCAAGGGACGTTAGCCAACTCCAAGGCATAGACTCTCTCCAAATGACAAAGTGAAATGGCTCACCTACACCCTTTTTATAAAGGCATCCAATGGTCTAGATCAAATCAGATCAATGGTTTAGGATCGCTGCCACACTTCGCTCGCGCGTGACCTCGGGAAGACGAAATGATGCATCTGCCAAACCGTATGAAAATGGTATGAGCGTCAAACCACCTAGTCTGCCCACCAAACCAGCCTAACCATGGACCAGCCGGCTTGCAAACTGGAGTTCTTCAGCGAGGACTTTAGAACTCAACGTATTTGTATTTGCACTCTTTACTAGGTTCAATTTGAAAAAAGTACAAATACAAATATGTACAATATAAATACAGACTTAGAAATATAAAATATAAGGTTTTGCACCGTACATATTTGTATTTCTACTCTTTCCAAACTGAACTTTGAAAATATATATTTTTGGGAAGCAAAAGCCAAAAATAAAATTTCTTGGGAGAGTTTTAGCTCAAAAAGAGATATGCTAGAAAAATGAGCGAAATGGGTTATTGGTAATGGACAAGCATATTTAATCTATGGAATGACACTTGGGTTGGCCATTCCTCTTTGAACACCCAATTTATGGGCCCCATTCAAAGTACTGATTTGAAAGTTAAAAAGACTTAGGTGATGTATGGCATCGGTGATGATTTCTTAAAAATCACTGCCATATCAGAGCCACATAGCGTTAGAGGAATCGGTGTTGAAATTTCTGTTTAATTGGCCGATTTTGGTAATTTTCAAGAAATCGGCCAAAAATTGATTATTGAAATCAGCCTTTTTCAAGGATTATCTTTTTTTGTGATTTCCTAATTTCTAATTGATTCTGATTTTTGGAGGATGACATGGCATCCAATATGGCATCAAATAATGGCTTTAATACAAAACAATTGGCCCTTAAAAATCAGTACCAAACATACTCAAAGTTAATTTATCAAAAATTGATTTACAATGGCATAAATGATATCAAACAACAAATTTTAATAATTTTTTAAAAATCACCGATTTCTGGATAATTGGCAAGGAAGAATGATCATCGATGCCACACATCACCTCTTAATGAAGGGAATTAGGCCTGATTGGAATGAAAACAAAGTGTGTGATATCCTCAATGAAGAATTATGGGCAAAAGTAAAAACTATCTTTATTCCTTCGGATGGGAAAGATGATTGGCTAATATAGAGAAAATGCAAATTTTCAATCAAGAGTGGTGGGAGGAGATAGGGAAAAGTAGCCAGGATCAACTAGGGAAGACCAGGACTTTGTTGAGCTATGTCCTATGGTGGATTTTGAAGAACAAAAACGGGAAGATTTTTAAGGATAAAATCCCCCACCCCCCCTCCCCACACCATTATCATTGAAAAAACTTTATGGGAAGCTCACGAGTTTGAGGAAAGTTTTAGTTCAGTTTGGGAGTACAAATACAAATATGTACGGTACAAATGCATATAAAATAAAATAATAAAAAATACAAGGATTTCCACTCTACATATTTGTATTTGTACTCCATCCAAACTGATGTACAATTACAAATATATACAGCATAAATACATATAAAATAATACAAAATGTAAAGTTTTGCGCTGTACATGTTTGCATTTGTACTCCTTCCAAACTGAACCTTAGTAAAATTTGAGTAAAGAAATGAACAAGATTTGGCTTTATTGGAACCCTTCAAACCATGGATACATCAAAAAAAATTTTGATGCTTCCTGTAAGGAGAATGGCTCGATAACCATTGGTTGTATTGCACAAGGTAATAAGGAAGTCTCATTTCGCGTTTAAGTAAACTGTTAGATTTCTGTTCTATTAACACTACAGGAGCATGGGTTATGAACTCACCTTGCATCATCGCGTTTGGCAAATAAGAATATCGCAATTGAAGGTGATTCAAAGCTAGTCATTGATAGTCTGAAAGGGGTGGCTGAACCCTCATGGATCATAAGAGTTGGTAGAAGAATACTATCATATAGGAAGGGTGCATGGGCTGAACATCCAGTATCCACAAATCTTCAGACAAGTAAACTATGTTACCGATTGGTTGGGGAACATGTCAAATGTTGCTATATTCTTGCATTGGGAACATCTCTGTACTTCTGTGTTTTATTTCACGAGGAAATATTCCCAATGCAAGGCTATACAAGTTGTTGGAGCAGGCCTTGCACTGACTGAATTCGGCTTCATATTGAAAAAATAAAGAACCCAACATAAATCCAATTGACATTATTTAAATTTATCTGTTTTCCTGTATCTACATCTAATTTGAATTGATCTGTTTGCAACCCTAAATAAAATGCTTAACTCAAGGTCGCCCAAGCTGCATTCTTAATTTCGGTTGATCAATTTATCTTTCTTTTTGTAAAAAGGTTGATCAATTTATCTAAATGGATTGATTTCTAATGTAAAAGATATTCAAATTTTGGTTATTACTTATATTACAAGGTTTTGCACTATTTTACACCTTTCCCAAGCTGAGCCAAAAGTACAAAGGAGATAAATCCATGAACATCCAAGGCAGTGAAAAGAAAGTGATCGACCAAATTCACCAAAAATCTAAACTATCAAGTGGTCTCTTTAAGTAAATTAATGTCAACCATTCAAGTGATATACCAAGATTTCAACCAATTGGCATTCAAATGATTTACCAAATCAACTCAAAAGCCTAGGCTGATTAGAAGCATTGGGATATCAACTAACCTAATGCATTGCTGCCAGTTATCTGCTTTGTCAAATCAATAAATGAATAATGAATCTCGACCAGGTCGCATCTGGAAATTTTGAACTTTGATCTCAAAAAAAAAAAAAAAAAAGAAGTTTTCAGAATAAATCTATGGTGCCATGAAGCAAAAAAAACTTGAACCAGTAACAAAGCCGGCATGTCATGGTCGAATAAAAAGTGAAATAGACCAGATGGCAACATGATTGCTTAAAATTTTGATTTAACACGCAACAAATGTTTGAAATGCACCATTTTGGACTCTAGCTCTAAATTATGAGCAGTGAAAAATTTAGGTTAAGGTTGACCTCAACCCGACTTAGATGCAGGTTCTTGAGTCCAACTATTATAGGGTTGAGGTCCAATCCCAACCCAACACTAGTTCTAATAATTAAGAATCTTGATAATTCATGGTATTTTACTTGCTTATTGCTAATATATAATAGAAAACTTTGATCCCTGTTCATGTTACATGTCAAATCTAGACCCAACCTGTGCTGCCCTCAACTGTGAGAAGAGTAGGGTGAAAGATGGTTTTAGGGTTTGGATTCCAAAAATCTAACCGTCTAGGGTTTTGGGGTAGGTATAGGTTGGGAGATCTAGAGAGGCAGCTAAGATTTAGATTTTATAATACCTGTTGATATAACTAAAACAAACTAGAAGTCAACATGAGTTTCAATTAATCAGGCCACGCTGCAGTCCCCACCCTATATTGGGAACATCTCCCGATGTTAATACCAGAGCCAATGATGTCATCATCGGAGATGTTCCCAATACAAGGCGGGGATGGGCTGCGGGACGTTGTGGGGCGCCCCACAGATTTGAACTCCCCAAGTATCGAATACTTTTGATTTGATACACTGAGTACTGATTATAATGGTTGGTTATGGGTTTGTGTGTATCAATTGTTTATCATTTTGAAATGGATTAGTGAGTTTAGAAATTGTAAGGATTGAGCATGGTTTAAAATGGTTAAGTACAGGCATGTGACAGTTTATACTAGTATTGGTTTCTAAAAAGTATGGATTTGCAGTGGGGTTTGTAAAAGTTGAGTACAAGTGTAAAAAAGTTCAAATGGCTTACAGCAGTTGGATATTATTAGTTTGTAATAACCGAGTATTGAAATGGACATCATACATACCAATATGTGGTGGATACTGTAAAATTTTTGCCGAAACCCATGATTTCTATCATGCCATGTATCAGTATCACTAAAACACAATACGTATTCAGATCGTATCATTACTTTAGACCTTGGTTTTTCGACTTTTTCCCAATCAAGGGCCCTGTTTGTGTAAATATGCCACTACTTTCCATGTCCCAAGGATACCTAGTTTCTGCAATGGAATATATTTACACAACAAGAATTATGGCTCATAAAAATTGAATGGCGTCATTCAATCAGTAGACATTCAAAACTGCTTTGAATTCCTTTTACTTCTCTGATTAAGCAATGTTCAACCGTCCATGAGGCATAATTAGTAAAACATATTTAAGAGTAAGTTTGATGTATAGACAAATTTACAAGTAAATATGTATTTATAGTCCAAGTGGGGAGATTTTTCTTTTCCTACTATTTTTATTTCAGAATCATACCACAGTAGTAAATGCTCTTTAAATATCGATACATTACCCACTGGCCTAAAGGATATGATCATATGAAAGTGCATCATGTCCTCAGTATCCCATGTCTGGATAAGTCAGACCACCTAAGAAATACAAAAGGAAACTCAGTTCATAGGGTGGAAATCCGAGTTTTTGCATGAAATAAGAGAACAATAAAATTGAATCAAGACACTCCACAATTGGTTAACTTGATTAGACCTACATAGCTAAAAATAAACCATAAATCAGAGAAAACCTTGTTAACTCAAGGATCCCATGAATTTGTGGTGATATGGCCAAAGTAAGATGCATGACTCCAAATTTTATGCTAATGCAATGTTTGCCTTTGTACCCACATAACAAATTCTCATGTATTTGGTCAAGTTCTGTAAAGTTTTTCATGAAAAAAGAAATCAATATTTGCACATTAATTCATAATCAGGGAGAGATTGTGGAGGATGTTACCCAAAGAATTAGAGCAAGATGGACAAAAGGGAGGGGTACATCAGAATTTTCATGTGATGGGCAAATACCACTTTGATTAAAAAATAAAATTCTATAAAACAGTTGTAAGGCCAACAATGTAGTATGGAGCAGTTAAGAAACATGTCCAGAAAATGAATGTGGCAGAAATGCAAATGCTAAGATAGATGAGTGGGAAAACTAGAAAGTATAAGATTAGGAATGAAGCTATTCAAAGAAACCTAGGAGTAGCTCCAATTGGTGATAAAATGAGAGAGAGTAGGCTAAGATGGTTTGGGCATGTGCATAGAAGACCACCAACTGTGGCAATTAGAAGAAGTGATTTGTTACACATTGAAGGGGCTCGAAGAGTTCAGGGTAGACCAAAAAGAACATGGATAGTAGTAAAAAAATGATTTAAGCACTAATAATTAGTGGATATGGCATTGAATAGAATGGAATTACAATTAAACAGAATTCATGTGGTGAACCCCACAGAGTTGGGATAAGGCATGGATGATGATGCTGAAATCAATATCTGCATGTAATACCATTTGCATGAATAAAATAACCTACGTGGTGATATTCTCTTTAACTGAAAATTAGGATTCTCAAGGCCCACTTCTAAAACCAATGGAAGACAAAGTCCTTGAAAAAGTGCCAAACAACAACCACATAAACCTATAATAATCTCGTGCATTCCTTTTACAGTTTCTTGCTCCTGACACAGACAAATCTGGCTAATTCTTATTTGCAGAAAAGAACCAATGCACCTAGGCTATGATTGACCAAGTTTCCATTTCCATGGGTAGTGACATGAAATTTTACCGGAATCGACATATTCCCTAGTGATCACTACCAGCACTATGTGGAGTACAAGAGATAGTATTGTAACATAAGTTGGTGATAATATTTCTTTTTTAATAAATATAAGTTGGTAATAGTATTATAGATATGTGGAGAAACAATGTTATTGCCCGCCTTACGTGATTAATAATTAGAGCTAGCTCAATATTCATTTCAAGCATGAAGTTTAATATTGGTTTTTCTTAGTGTAATAGATTATTTGCCTGATCTATTACAACCATTTACATTTTCTGTGAAGTTTAAGTTTTGCTTTAACTCATCATATCATGCAGTATTGAATCTTTATAGGGCAACTTCTGAACATATTCTCGTCTATAATCTTAGTTTTTCAGCTTTGTTTAGTGGCTTGGAACAAGATAATAATTTAAAATTTATCATTTCATAAAATACCGTTGTATATTTTGCATATTTTACAATGTTTCCACCATGTCTATAATTTTTAAAATATTTCCATAGGATATTTCCAACATGTTTCTTATATTTGGACAGCTGGTATTTCCACCGACACCAACATTTTAAACCACAGTCATACCATAAAAGGACCATTACCAAATGATGGTCTTAGCTATGTATGGTCTTGGGAGAGGTGAATTGGATATAGACCTAACCTTTGGCATGTTTTGCACAAAGTGGCAGCCCTCAAACTCAAAAATCTTTACATTTGGAGATAACAAAATATCTCTGACCTCTTATAAATAATGAGCCAACCTCCAGGGGCTTTCTGCTGTCTCCCCTAACCACTTTATAGTATTATGTCAAGTGCTAACCCTAGCCTTTTGAATTCCAAACCAAACTTGGATTGAAGGTTGATAAGGGCTTCAAGAAAAAGACAAGGCAAGTTTGCAAGCCTCTAGGTAATATGGCATTATGGCTGATACTCTTTTATTATTTGGGCCAAAAGTATGGTTTTTATGGCTTACACTGTAATGAAATATCCATGTGTTTTGAAGCCTAAGACACTGATCATGACAATGCTGTATGGTCGCCTTTTAGCTAAGGCAATGCAGTGGGCTGCTACTTTCTAGTCCCTAATTGTTGACTTAAATACAACTTAATGATTTCCAATATAGTAAAGAAAGAAGCAATGGCTTGGTGTATCTCCAAACATTCCATGTCAGACTCTAATGTATTCACTTATTATCCAGTCACTATCAAAATGTTCAATCCCCAGTGGATATGAAACTAATAGAAGGGTTTTGTTCCCTTGTTGGGAGAGAGAAGGGGAACAAATGTTTTTGCACTCATATCCAATACCAGGTACATGTGTTAGGGTCAGATACTGGTACTGGGTATTGGGCCTGGAAACCCACATTGTAAGAATTCATACCGAAAAAAAGACATAACCCAGTGTTGGTTCTTAGCTATCTGAGGTCTTGGGAGAGATAGGCAGGATATGTATCTAACCTCTAGAACTTTTTACACCAAGTGACAACTCTCTAAGTCCAAGAAGAAGAACCTGCATTCTCATGCTTGCTAACCCAAGGTTTCATTATTGCACCAAGCAATGGCCCCTGAAGTAAGAATTCATACAATTACAGGAATCCATGAATTCCAGTCACCTAAATTAATCACTATTGACAGGCAAGGAAGGTGAGGATTTCCCAAAACTAGGTCTGAAGAATACAAAGACCGAGTTCACATCCACTATGAAAATGGCGGTCACGGGGGAGGTGTGGAAGAAGGAAAAAGGAGAAGGACCAAAGGAAGAAAGGAAATCAAAGAAACAAAAAAAAAGGCAGAAAGCAAGAAAAACTAGGCAAATATAGCAATTATAAAGATATGTGACAAAACCATACAACAAAATAAAGAAGGAAAACAATCATGTGATAAAAACAAGTGTAATTGCTTAAGTTAAGAAAACTGAATATCTGATTTATATTAAATTCATATTTAAAACAAAAGTATCCAAACATGTAGAGATTTAATATACTGTCAAGTGTCAATGCACTGAAATCAAGACTCACCTTCAAGATGGAGTACTGAGGACACATCCCTTGTTGAAATGATGTAGAACAACTTAATTTGAACCTGAACTTGCAGCACAAGAAGCTGATGTATTGCTGTCAATCAAAGGACCACTGCCATGAGTGGTCTCTGCAGTACTCTGGTTACTAGGCTCTGTTACTGATGAACCCTCCAAGTTATTTGCTACAGAATCTGTGGTGGATCTACTGTTTTCTCTGGTCTCCAGGTGTTCCATCATACGTGATACACTAGCAATTCCTGCATTTACTTCTCTCCTGACTTCAGAACTAAGATCTGCCATTGATGTGCTCCGAGAAAACAACCTCTCCTTCCAACCTCTTGTGCTCTTTGAAATAGACTCTTTGTATCTTAAATAAAGATTCAACCAGAAATCAAATGGGAACCACTAAAGTAAACATATTAAATAATGAGAATAAGATCTCTTTCAGTAGATGGAATAGGATACTTTCTATAAGGGGGTGTTTTCCCTCGAGAAGATTATGTGCTTCTATAGGATTTTACCTCATTGACATTGCACTGAATCGAGATTTTAGAGATTCTGAAAATGATTGGAATTCTGAAGGCCCTGCTCTGTCTTGATTTACTGGAGGAGATTGACTAGCAAAACCCCTACAGGAAAATGATCAACATAACAATGCTTCAGATATGTTTTTACAAGTATGCTTTAGATAGTAAAGCAATGTAAAGATTTGATTAGCTAAGACAAGCAATATGAGAATCAAGTTGAGAATGATGCATACCGATTGTTAAAGGACAGTCCAGATCGACTGGATCCAAGAGCAGTAGATCCAGATGCTGAGGCAGGAACTTCTCCAGTTTGGGCAGAAGATAATTCCGGGGCTTGATTGGATGGTTGTTCTCCGACAGCTGTAAGAGGAGCAGGACTGGAAGCAGTAATTGCAGGAGCCTGTTCATTTTCCCCTCCCCTCTGAGCTAAAGAAGAAGAAACAGGACCAGCAGCTGCATTGGGATGAGTAGAGAACACCAAGAACTGTGGACGACCTTGACCTGCTGCCCTACTGCGCTGTCCTTCCCTTCGGGCAATATGGTGTGCTCTCCCCATTGCAGCAGCAGCAGCCAAATGCTGGATTATACGTTCTTCAAGTTCAGCATCATTAGAACCTACTGGTAACTGCAACCAGGTAGCAAATAGAAAATTGGATCAAATAAATAGGACAAGTCCCGATGTACATGGTATACAATTTCTTGGTTTTATTGATTGAAAAGAAAAGAAAACCATAACTCCAACTAGCATAGATGAAGCACAGACATGTTGTAATTCAAAATCCCCTAGGGTGGGATGATGAAATATTGTGGCATTTCGTGATGGGTTAAAACGAAATTTCCTCTCCCGTTCTACTGCCTCAAGCAGTTCTTGGCTGCAAACCAAACACGGTAAATTGTTACCATCAAAATCACTACTTGTGAGATAATTAAATATGAAAAAAGCATTGAACCGACAAGATGAACCTGGTTGGATCCTTCAGACTGATGGATTGCCAACACATAGGACACTGTGAACTTCTCTGACACCTATAACAAGGAAGAGAGACTTGAAATTATTTTATTTTCTTCCCTTTTCTTTCCAATCAGAAAATTTGCATGGATTAAACAGATGAAGCCCTAATATTTAATATCTTCCAGAATTTTTTTGATGAATTAATATCTTCCAGATTCCATAGCCCATTTTTCTGGTTTGACACTTTTGCATTCTCCTTTTTCTTTCTATTCTCATCTTGAATATAACATCTAGCAGGCATTTAATCCTATAATTTCTTATGAAAATCTCTAAACATTGAACATGACATTGTTATATTTATGCTTATGCCCTTGTCCACAGGTACACGTTAAAATAAAAGAAAAGCCCCAGTACCCAATCCATCCCAATAAAATGACAATTATTATATGAATTCTACATTACTAAAATATACTAGTTAACCCACATCCCATGTTCTAAGGCTTCAAAATCAGATATTCCCATGAATAAGTCAACTAATGCACCAACATAACAGGAACAATAGTTCAAATTTCATTCCTTATTATTAAAAGATCCTAAATTTTCATTAATCAAACAACATAAGATACAATCATGACCTCTTTGCCTACCATTCAATTAAAGACTGCAAGTGGAGATCTACCCCGTCTATCCTTTCCCTAGCAAGTAGCAAGCTGATCTGCTCTTCTAACCCATCTAAATGAAATCATTAGACTCTCCTTCATCCCCCACTCTACCCTATCACCACTTGTTAATCCCCTTCTATTGCCACGGTATTCAGTCTCAAAGAGAAGAATAAGCTCAGTCCTTTAAGGAAGATAAGAGTCCTTCCCATATATTGAGCTTCCCTCTCATATAAGACCAGAGTACATCAATATGATTGCTCCATTATGGTTTCTGACCACACCCCCCAACATTTCAAATTTTCATTTTGGATCAACAACAATAAACTTCCCTCCTATGTGGATTTACAAAATTTTTTAAACAAAGTAATAAAAGTTGAATGGCAGGACAACATCATTGCCCAGTTTGAGAATTCATGGAAGTTACATATGTAAACTGTAAATCACCTCAAGAAGTTGAAGATAGCTCGTATATTGAAAGAGGCAACCAATTAGATCAACAAATTTCAACTCACACATGTTAATAGAACCAGGCAACCAGAACCTAAGAAAGCTTTCTTTCTTTTCTATCTTAAAATAAAATCATTACAATCACTTATCTCTATGTATTTATTGATAGAGGAACAGGAAAGAAGTGCTGTATGATTAACTGGCCAGTTTCTTTCTATAGCATATTTAGTCTATTAGGATCCATTAATCCAAAGATTGATCAAGGTATCTACATGAAATGTGACTCTTCTGGGATTTGGCATTCATTAGGATAATTATAAGGGTATAAACTACAAAGTAACAGTCACCAAGAATAGAAGAGGAAAACCCAGATTACTCCTTTCAAAAAGAGAAATTTAGAATTTCCAGCAAGTAAATAGAATTCCGTGAACATATAATTGATATCAAATATAGGAAGAAGATTTTCCCTGGTTTTTTAAGAGAAACAGGATAAGAAGTAGAAAGACATTCAAGTTTCAATTAACTACATACTTGACCTCTCCAAAGGTGTAAGAAAGAAAATGGGTAGAACTTCTAAGAGAGAATCATAATTTCATCATGTATCAGGGTGAATCGAGCATATCCTATCGTTCCAGCAGCACCCCGATATGCTTAAATTACAATATATTTTGGTTCTGGGTAATTTCAGGGGGTGTTCAGGCCTAAGACTGACACCCTGTAGACTTTTGAAATAAAAAAAAAAAAAAAAATGGCTTGTGTGCTTTAGAAACACCTGCTACGCAAGGTTCATGCGTATCAAGTCAGACAGGAAAATAACAACTAAAGTTGGACAAGGGAAACACCAAAAAAATTGGGGGAGGGGGGAGTTAAAGCATCCAAGAAATGACTATTGACTTATAACTTGACATCAACAACTCTGACTTAATCCCAACCATTTGGGGTCAGCCATAAAAATCCTGCCCACCATTCTGCTCTATCAAGAGCCATGTTTTATGTCAAATTACAAGTCTTTAAATTACTTTTTACCACTTCAGACCACATTTTCTTGGGTCTTCCCCTTGCTCTTTTAGAACCTACTTGCACAAATTCACTCCTCACTGGTGCATGGTTGTCATGTGCTAGGGAGTAAGGCTAGGCTGGGCAACAGGAGAGTGCTTTGTCACATAGATGACTAGGCGCCTATCTAGACATTACTTAGGCAATGATTTTTGTATAAAACTCCTGGTTGGTTTAGCTTCTTTTATGGGTAGTTTGTTCCCCAGTTAAATTACACGCACTCTTTGTTTTAGTTCAAAAAAGATACAAAAAAGAACATCTATGTGCTTGTGTATGTGATGAATCAAAGAATGGAGTAAAAATCTGTGTTCCATCCCTTTAAGTCATTCATATTCTGCAACTTCCTCATCATGATAAACCCAGCTGATCCCAGAAACAGGCAAATAATCCACCTCTGATCCACAAACACCAAGAAATTAGGATGCCCCATCCACATATTCTCAAACCTAAGCAACTTTGGTCCCTTCAACCTTGTAACATCCCACAGAAAAACAGGATTGTGATCCGAAACTGAAAACACTAATGCCACTTACATCAACCCCTCAAACATCATCTCCCATTTTCTATTAAGAAAAATCAATCCAGCCTCCAATAAAATAGGAGAAACCTGCCCATTTGACCACGAAAATTTAGAGCCTACCAGCCCAAATCTTCCAACTCATTTCTTCTTATGAGATCCCAAAATTCCTCATTGCTCCAGACATTCTCCTATCCCACCCTCTTTTTATCTCCTCTACTCTCCATACCACTTTGAAACCCCACCTGCCAGTCATGGCTTGAACCCCTGCACCATGAAACCCCTCCAAATCTTCCAACAACTGATCCCACTCCCTATCCGCATTCGACCTAAATACATGTGAAATCAACATACTTCTTTGAAATCACATGTTCTACCACCACAGTAATTGAAAACCTTACTTTAGAAAAGCCCACCTTCCTCAACAATCCTAAGACCGAAAAAGTCAAACAAGCCCTCTGACAACCCTCCTGATTCCAACACCACCCAATCCCTGCTACTTGGGCCCCAAATCTCACTAATGAACTTCCAACTCACCTCCTCCAATTTTGTTTCTTGTAACAGAAACACCTCAATTCTGCAGCTCATAACTAAATTCTTGACTGCCCCCCCCACCTTCTTGGAATCCTAAGACTTCTCACAATCCATGTACTATTCTCATTGTTTTCTTTTCTTTTTTTTTTCTCTTCCTTTTTTTATTCTTCTACTTCCACTACACCATCAACTCTCTCCTGAGTGGTTGGCTTTAACTCTTCTTCCCTATTCCCATCACCCTTGTTATTCTTTTCTTCCACTTCCCTAAAAGCCTTCCTTGCAAACTCTTATCCACCTAAGAAAAATAATCTCAAAATTTTACTAACTTCCATTTCTTTTCTGGTTTGCCCAAACCCATTTATGGATCTATGAATTAAAAATGATTTATTATGATGCTCTTACACACTGTTACTAAAATTACAATATGTCTATTTTGTTTTATTCCAATTTATCTTGAAACTGTTTGATTCTAAACTCTAAAGCATCTCTCCTTTTTTCTAGCTTTACCTTCAGCCCATCTTTAGTTATTTTAATAAAAGCCATATCATTAGCAAACAATAATTACCATGGCACCTCCTCCAGTAAATGTCCATTTAGTTAATCCATAACTAATGCAAAAAGATGCAGGCTAACTGCTAACCCTTATGTAAACCCATTTTTATTGTAAATCTATTGTCTACCCTTCCTGAGTTGTTAAGCCAGTTATTGCCCCCTTATACATATCCCTAATGATATCAATATACCTACTGACTTGATAGAGAGGGAAATTTCTGAGTATACACCAAGAGAATTAGGAAATTAATAATTTTCTGTTTAAACAAGTGCGGAGCAGTCCCATTTTCATTCCATTCTTGTTTGATGGAGCAATGAACAGTTTCATCAACCTGAACCGTAAGGAAAAAAATACAACCTTACTACGATAAAAAAACATTACAGGTAGAACCAACATATTCAACCACAAAAACATGGCAATCAAATGCTAGAAAGATATCAAACATAAGCGGCACGTCAAATGAAGAGGAGTTTAACTAATCCATAGTCCAATGCTCCTGAAATATCCTATCAGTCACATGAAAGCATTGGGGGAGGGAGTATATAATCTGCTTCAAATAAACAATCAGAGTATACCACTCAAGAATGCATTGAAGATGAAACTCATGCTTGCAATTAGTGACCTGCACAAAAAAAAAAAATAGAAAAATTGGTCTTCATAATAAACAAATCCCAACAGGCAACACAAGGAGGAAAAGAAAAGGGTATAAATAAAAAAGGATAATCAAATTTCTTACAGTTGAAGGATCGCTGTCACAGAACGCCTCAAGGCATATACTGCAAGCGTCATCACAAGCGTCCTGTATACCCCCTTCCACAAAAGCAGCAGCCGATGTCAGACTCTCTATCTTCTTACTCTCATCCATCGCTGAAACCTAAGAAAACCCAAAACCCAATAGAGAAAAATCAAATTTGATCACACAGTTGAAACATGGGCATCCTCCATAAATTCAATAGAGAAAAATCAACTAAAAAACGCGTAAAACTAGAAATTTTACTGAAATTTATCACCAAATTCAACAAGGAGCACCCCTTCAAATAAAATTTTGCCAAAATTCAATCGTCAAAATCAGAGTCAACTCATTACAGAAAACCCCGGCAACCAAAACCAGATGGGGAAAAGAAAAGAAAAAAGGAAAAAAAAAACACAGAAAAGAAGGATAATATCAGAAACACTCAGAAGACAAGAAGATTAAAGATTACAAAAAGAGGTAAGAAATGAGGGCAAATGGAACTCCTGACGAGCAAAACCGCAGCAAAGATAACCAAAGCATAAAAAGCCATCAAAACTAGAAAACTAGGTCCGGGTGACGAGGGAACTGAAAGCTAGACGGATCTCAATTTGAGAAAAATTGTATAAAGAAAAATCAGGAAAAAATAAAATATTTAAGAAAGAAAAGAATTGGGGTTTTACCTCCATTGGAACTGGTCCCGAATTGGGGGAAGGGGGGTTGAGGATTCGAGAAATCACCCTTGAATTTCAAGACCGAACTCGAATTTCAGAGAGAGATCGCTCGAGATCCATCACCCAGAGAGAGGAGGAAGAGGAAGTCAGATAGAAGAAGGAGATTACCTAGATTTTAGAGGGTAACGAGAGACCGAGAAAGATAAAGCAGAGATGGAGACTCGTCCGTCCCTTGGCCTCTTCTAAAAATAAAAAGCAGCTAAGTTGGAAAAACAAACCAATGCTCCTTATTCTTCTTCTACTTCAAGACTCTCTCTCTCTCTCTCTCTCTCTCTCTCTCTAACAAAACAAAATCCGGGTCAAGTCTCTTTGTTGACCCATATTTTATGTGGGCCCTCTCCCTCTCTCGTTATTAATATGAGAATAATATCTGATTAGATGGTCCCTAACAAAACAAATCCGGGTCTACTCTCCATGTTAACCCATATTTTATGTGGGCCCTCTCCCTCTCTCGTTATTAATATGAGAATAATATCTGATTAGATGGTCCTTACCAAAACAAAACCGGGTCTAGTCTCCATGTTGACCCATATTTTTTGGGTCTTGTATTAGTTTTTTTTGGCTTCCTCTCTTATCATCACATAATCAAGTTTTATCATTATTATAATTTCGTGTTAATACGTTCTGTTTGGATAAACTTTTTCCTTTTTGGTTTGAGCTGTGAAAAGCATAATTGAACTAAAAAAGTATTTTGGGCATTTGGCAAGAATTGCTTTTAAAAGCATTATGGTGTGAGGCTAAAACACTCTCAAGCCCCAAAGCATTTGGGATTTGCACTTTTGAGCTTTACAAGCCTCAAGGCTTATCCAAACGTAACCAAAATTAATCTGACTTTTAAGCCTAATGTCTTAATAAAACCAAGTAGGCTTTGTTCATTGGATTTCATTGGCCTCACATCTTTGGGTTCTTGTTGATGACTTGAAGTCAACATCAGTCCCTTATTAAATATTATTTTCTAATGAATTTCTTTATTACCATCTTGAGAAATTATAAAAAAATGGAGAATGACGGTTCAGCCCAGGGTCAGAATTTTTAGCCCAAATTACAATTGGAGTAGATGTATTTGATATTTTGAATGTTTATAGATCTGTAGTGAAATTCAGAAATCTACAATGGGTCTGTCTGTATTTTTCCGTTATTTTGAAAGTTCAATTAGTTTTTTTATAAACTATGAAAACTATCATTACCAAACTCGTGTTCTCTAATTATTTAGCATACCCAACAAATAAAAGAAAAATTCATATTAACTAAAGATTTCAATTCAAATAAGTTATCCTTGTTCAATTAGATTAAGAACATTGAAATCAATTACCCTCATCTCATTCATCACATTATAGGTTCAACCTACATAGTTCTTTTAAGAAAGAAATTGCTTGGAAACTTCCAAGCTTGGAAGTTCTTTTGATGTTTTTCGTGTTAAAAACAAAAATGCTTTTTTTTCCATTCCTTTGCTTATTATTTGTTTTGCAAGTGTCTTCATGGAATATGGTTGGAAACTTGGACTTCTTTCTACTAGGAGAAATGTAAGAATGTCATGTTCATATTCTTTTATGTTCTTTTTTGAGAATAAGGAAAGAAAGAAGAAAAACAAAAATGAAAGAAAGAAATCCACCAATTTAAACCAGGATTTCATTTAGATGTGTGAATATGGCACATCCCTATGGCATACCCCAAGTCAATAGATAAAAAATGTTTCTTTTCAAAAAGACAGAAATACCCTTATTAAAATTTAGTAAATAGGGGTGCTTTTGTCTTTGGAAAAAAAAAACATTTTTGATCTATTCACTTGGGGTATGCCATGCTTATAAAAAATGGGATGTTTCTTAATCATCACTCTTTGATTTATTGAAGAGTCACTTAAAAAGGATTTGTTGCATTGTCTTGTCATGTACAAGTATATGTCAGGTTAGGGTTCAACTATGATATCGGAAAAACTTGTAATCAATCAATTAGTATCATAAAAGTAATAACCAATCAGGTGGTATTTATCAAAATTCAAGGATAGTTTTGATTGTCAAAGCTCTTCTGATATCATGTCATTCCGACAACATAGATTTTTCTGGCAAATTATTGCTGGAGCTTAAAAATCCCCAAAAGACAAGCATATTCTGGTTTGATATAGTTGTATTCCTATGAATATTTCTCTTACTAATTGCACAATTACCAATAGTTCATTATAAGAGTCAATATAGGGAAATGCAACCATATGAGATGATAAACCTCATGTTTTGATTAAAAGCTGAGTCTAAGACTTCATGGTTCTTATAGACCTAACTCATTAAATTGAAATTCCATCTAGTAAAATAGAATAATTATAAATCTCCAAGACAATAGATAAGAATATTGCATATAGAAAAATTGTGATGCCATCAAAGGGGTAGTTCCCCCCATATAGGAGATACATACTTTGCCATATTCTAAATCATCATAATTAGTTTTGGATTCCTTAAGTTAATCTTTGATTGTGGTGAGGCCCATCCATGTGGTCCAGTTGCATGTTGTCATGTGTCTTTGGATGAAACACTCAAAGAACTCGTTGATAACTCGAACCAGCTTGGCCAATCGACTCGACCGATCAGATTCACCCAGATGTCTTTAACATAGTTAGGTCGTGATAAGGACAATCATCAAGAAACTTGGGCTAGGCTTAATAACTGTCTCCTAATAGGACTATAACTCCTCAACAAGCACAACATCTCTTCTATAAATAGGTATATACACTTTAACACTCTCTCAGCCTCCACTTCGCCTTTTTTGCTTTCCTTGCACATGCCTTCAAAGTAGTTTGGTTCATCCACCTAGTCCTCAGACCTAGATTTCCTACTCACTTTTCCTATCCACTCTCTACCCGTCGTGAATTACAAGAGAGATTTGTGGCTGTAATTTACCGCGAATAGAAAGTGGATAGGAAATCCCGTTTGCTGGTCCTCAGCCTGTTATATAAGTTTCCAACTTTCTCCCCTCTCATTTGTTGCCCGATTTCAAACTACAACAGATTAAGTTAGGGATGCAAACAAAATCAGGTCTAATGGGATAAACTGCAAACCTAGCTAGGTACAAATTTGATCTATTAATGTTAATAAAATTGAGCAAAATATTACATTGTATTAATAAAATGAACCAAAATGGCCTTGATATTTTATATAGTAAAAGATAATTTGAATCCACTTATAGGATAAATACTACAACTTAGGGCATTAACCATTTTTTGTAGGTTATAATACCCTTCCTTGGAGATTTCCTGACTTAATTCATGAAACTTAAAATAAATAACTAAAGAGTATCATCCCTTTGAATCACAACATTCACAATCTTTTGTGTCTTGTATGTCTAGATGCTTTGAACCTTGTTAGATGCCAATGACCCACTAATTGAGATATAGGTCACTTGGGGTATGCAGACTCTCCATAGAAAGGTCAATTGACCTCACCCCCTTATGTTCCCCTATGATGTATATTATGCAATACCCAAAGAAAACCCTTCTTAAATAAAGGAAGGAGATTAATAGGTTGGTCAACAGAAAGCAGAGTCCTTATAGTCTACATTTTAGGGTTTTCTCCCTAACACATTAGTATTTTGTTCATGCCACACATAAATCAAGATACAAAATTACTGCCTCCAATTAAGGGTGTCAATGGACCAGTTTTGGATTGGACCCTGTTCAGTCCAAAATCAATTTGGACGGATTGAATGGACCAACAAAACATTATTAGATTGGATTGGACCAATCTAGTCAAAAATATTTATTAGATTGGATTGGACCTAGTTTGTCCGTAACAAATTTATATTGGATTGAATTGGATTAAGCCAATATCTGGTCCATTGATATAAGATAAGAATATATGTGTTAATGGACTGAATTTGGATTCAAAACCAATCCAAATCAAAATGAATCTGAACAATTTGGACGGTCCCAACATTGAATTGGACTGGTCCAAATTAATCCAAAACATTCATGAGATTGGATTAGACCTTATAATGGACTCACATTAGACTGGATCAGATTAGACCAAATCCGATCCAATTGACACCCCTACCTCCAATTTTCAATCTATCTAATATAACCAAACAACAAACATTAAGAATGAAAAGAATATGAAGAAGCAAATCATAAAGTGGGGCCATCTATTTTTCATTACAAGGACACTTGGATGAATATTTTAAAAAATATAATGTTCATGTAGTGTCATGATATTACTTACGTGAATAGAATTCTATTCCTCAATTTGATTGGTTGTAGGTTGAAATAGGTGGCCTAATTTCTCCCTATCTCCTCATCACCTACTCAATAGGCCATATAATAATACCCATTTATGTTGCATTCTAAACATGTGATTCACAGATTTCAAGGGTATGTGCATGCTGTCCAACATCATTATTAATTGGTGTTTCTAACTTCTATGTGACTTAACCATCCAATAATGATGGCGTTTGGTATATTGATGTGTTTCAAGGTGGAAACTTTTCAGCTTGAATTTTAGCATTTCAAGCTCATCTCAAGAAAGAGAGATTTTGGTGCTTGTCAATGGACAATGGATAGGGTCTGGATCCCTTATATGATCTGCTCCTTACTGAGCACTCCTCACACCGACTTCATAGTCTTGGTTGCAATGTTTTAAAAACTGATCCGAAGGCCGAGTCGTTTTTGCCTCTGGGTTGTGGGTCATCGGTTAGACCGGTTGGGTTATATATAATGTGTGTGTGTATAAATATATTTTAGCAATAAATAATATATAAATATGTTTTAGATATGTTATATGTATTATTTTATATTTAATTTATATTTTTAATTCAGTTTTTAATTTTTATTTATAAAAAATATTAAAAATTGCTAATTGAGGTTGAAAAAGGGTTTTTTTTTTCGTGAAAATAACAAGGCAAGGCACCTACGTCACCTTGGGATGCATAAATCTCAAAAAGTTACCTAAAACCAAAAAGAAATCACCCTAATCGGACATTGGAGTGCAAAGTTAGGCCTCCGAAAAAATTGCATGCATTGAGTGTGCAACCCACAACCCAGTCACTGGGTCAAATGGGTCAACGGTTGAACAGATAGGTCAAACAGTTCTTGATCAAATCCAACATTTTTTTACCATTTGCCA